TTCTTCTTCTTCTTCTTCTTCTTCTTCTTCTTCTTCTTCTTACCTATGTTATTGAAGTTAAGTATACACATAAGGTTGCCCGAATGACTTGTTCCGTTGATCGTCGGCCGAATGCTATTATCCATCTAAACACTACTTGTCAACCATAGGTCGAAGACAGTCTTATACATGCATTTGATTATTGTTTTTGGTCGAAATCATGTGAATATTAGTATATGTCGTGGGTATACTACTCGTAGTAAAGTAATGTTTATTTTATCATTGTCAGAGTTCGATATTTTCTTTTAATAAATTAATAATAAACTACTTCTGTTAAATTCATTTGACACTTTGCATCAAACCATTTTTCTAAAATTGTTCGTCGCGGATTGCAGATATTAGGTAGATAAAATCAACATCAAATTTAAGTTTGTCATCATATATGCTAGTTTGGTCTCGTGGCCTTACCGTTCGCCGCCGTTGGTACGTAAGGTCGGCGGTTCAAATCCCAAGCCACTATTTTTTTTTTATATTTAAGCTTTTTAATTTTAATATCGAAACACATGTATAATAATTAAACTCTATCGCCGTAGTTGATTATATTTAAGAAACAAAGAAAAAAAAACTGAATGTCAATATCCAAACTACATCAAATTTTTGGTCGATTGCAATAAACATTCCAGTGTGCGTGGGCGCGCACACATATGTAGATTACACTTGTACGTATAGTTTCCGCGCGTACCATTCTTAAAACCCGCAAAGACAATCCACGCTCCGCCCACTCACTTCACCCGCGATGGTCTGACCTAATTGTTGTTAACATTATTTAAATTTCTTTCTACCCGACAGCGAAAATTATAAAAAAAACATTGTCGAGCAAAATTTTACATTAACAAAATTTTATTGGTTATGAAAAAATAACCCCGTGATTGATAAAATGATAAAAAAGTAGCCTGAGATTCGAACCGGTAAACTTACATATTACGGCAAACATACTAGAATACTGCGCCAAACTAGTACTCGTATATATTGTGACAAGGCAAAATTTGATATTAGTTATTACGTATCTGTCATATTCGGCGTGACAAACTTTTATATTTAAGCGTTATGACAGGAGAAGAAAAATATTGGGTTGCCCAGTAAATTCGTGCCGCTTTATAAGGAAAATTGAAACCCTGTTCTCTTAAATTTTTGGAAATGTTTTTAAATTATATTGGTACGACTCTATACCTAAAACGTCTTTTATTTTTGGCTAAAATTTAAAAAATTAGTTTTTATCTCAACCAATGAAATGAAATTATTCACAATATATAATAGAAATTTTTGTGACGTTTGATAATGGTGGAAATCCGAAAATGAATCCACTTCAGCTACAGTCTATTCTAAGCTTCCTATCCAAAATCGGAACGAACTTTCCGGACAACCTATAATGTTAATACAAAGTGTCAAATGAATGTAACAGAAGTAGTTTATTCCAAATTGTATCACAAGTATATAGATATAGAGTTCAATTTTGTCAAATGTTACGATATTTTTGCACACCTTGACTGCTTAGTTACTTATGACGCTGTGGCTGCTACGATATTTATGGGCACCTTGCATGTACTCATATATTTGACGCTTTGTTTGTACCGATGTATTTGAGCAAGGTGAATGTATCTATCAATTTGAGGACTTTTGTTGTACCGATATAATTGATAACTTTTGGTGTACCTATATATTTGCATATCTTGTCTGTGACGATATATATGACGCTGACTGTACTTAGGAAAATATTTTTTTAGCTATTGTATTAATACACAACTTATTCTCTAAATAATTCAAATATTGACTAAAAAAATCAAACAACATCATTTGACAATTTTATTTTTGTTTACCAAACGCTTACCAACTAATATCTAAAGGATGGACTTACCGTGGGTTTCTGAGACCAAAATCTTCTTAATTCATATGTCACAATTTTAGTTGCCATACTCCCAACAGCTTGGCCGATTTTTATAAAATTTTAAATGCATATTTAGTAGGTCTAATAATCGACTACTATCTATTTTTAATTCCGGCGGAGTCGCGGGCGACAGCTAGTCTTTGTATAAAATATCGTCATCCCTGTCATTATCTTTGACAAAATAGAAATAAAAATGATGATTTTGGCCTCGGAAACCCACACTTAGCAACATTGTGGTCCATCACTTGACTGTCAGTTTGTATTCTCAGGCGTGGTCGCGCAGGTCGCTGCCAGCCTGGTATTTGTTACCACATGATGACGTCATACCGTGCCTCCACGTTATCCGAGCGTCTGCTGCCGGAGTTACAGAGAAGTAACCTGTTAGAACCAGTGCTAACTGTGAAGAGATTGAGACTTGGATTGGCAGCTGACGCGTTTAGCATGATGCCTTCGCCGCCCGCACCTTCAACTGTACAGTGGGCTGTCAACCATTTGCAACAGTGAGATTTTGTGATTTTTTTTATTCTGTACTTAGGCATCTGTGACATCCTGCTAAATCTATGATTTTAGTTTTCATAACCAATGTCATAAGCGTTTTCAACTGAAGGCATTGAAGTTTATAAATGGACTGGCTATTATTACACGTAGTATTTTGTGCCTATTTGATTTTCTCCATTTTGACGCTGATAGTAGCGGTTTGTAATGGTGGTGGGGATCCGAACTATTAATATAGATAGAAGTAACTGTCACGTAATATCAACAGGCGCGTTCAAATCGGAAGCAAAAGCTATCATTTCCGAGCAATCGCCTATCCATTTGTTTATATATGGTATAGAAATTTTTTATTTGTATAAAGAGTGTACTTTGTAGTAATTTAGGGGAAATTGTTTGTTGGGTTATGAATTTTAAATTGTGTAAAGGTGTGGTGCCCTGGACGCGCAGGAGACACTAACGCCTCTAGGCTGGCATTTGGCACGGCTGCCGCTGCACCCTGCGGCCGGCAAGCTGCTGCTGCTGGCCGCGCTCTTCGGCTGCCTCGACCGCGCCGCCAGCGTCGCTGCAGTATGGAGCTTTAAAGATCCCTTCCAGCTCGTCATTGGTAAGCTAGCCTTCATGACAACAAAGTCTTTATATCAGTAATTTGTTTTTGAAGATTATTCATAAGTGTTTGGTCGGTTGTGGAGTGTTTTGTTTCGGTGTTTATTATAAAAAATGTAATCTTTGATAGTGATATAAAATAAGTAATTTTGTACATCTAGATAAGATAAGGTTATTTTATAATACTGGCCGCTAAGACTGATGCTCTGATAACTGTCTAAATGTTTTTATATAATATTTTTAATAATAATTCGGTCAAAGAATAAAATCGAAACAACCGAAAAAATGCAAACGAGCAGCGGGGACACCGAGGTGTCCAAGCTAAAAAACAAAAGCAATTATAATGTCAATAAAAAAATTATGGCCGCCCCCAGTGTTGCCTATATCGTGCTCTGTTTACCCCTTTCTACGCAATTATTATTTTAGGCAAAGAAGCAGAAGTGGATGAGGTAAAACGTAACTTTACATTGGGCGAACCGAGCGACCATATTGCTATATCAGAGGCAATAATACAATGGGAACGATGCAGATCGCGACAGCATAGACACTCTTTCGCTTACTCAAACTTCTTATCAAATAATACTTTGGAATTGTTAGCCGATATGAAAAAGCAGTTGGGTGACAATCTGAAACAGATGGGCTTCCTTACCTCCGGTGACGTCAAATCTCGCTATGAGAACAGAAACGCCAACAATATGAGCCTCTTCAAAGCGATCGTGGCCGCAGCGCTTTATCCTAATATAGCTACAGTTAGGTTAGTTTTCTTTTATAGTACTTTTACATACATACATTTCCTTAACATAAAACGAATCAATCATCGCTCGTCATTTTTCTTGCGTTTGTCTATCAAAAAAATATCAAGTTTACAGAATACAGCCATAAAGTATAAAGTAATATTCCTACTTCAACAAAAGAGTTACGCATGAGATAAAACAGTCTATATTCTGCTTTTCCACACCTATGATATTTAAGCTAATTCCGCTATTTTTGTCTGTAAAAAAATCTGTACTACCTAGAACCCTTTGAAATGCCTTCACATTTTTAGATGGACAAATATAGATTCAAGGAATCGACCCGCACGAATGAAAGTATATACACCTGAAGAAGGTAACATATCTCTCCATCCCAGTAGTGTTATGGCGTCAGCGAAGAACCCGAGGTCCAATAATAGACCGTTGTGTAACCAGCCCGGAGCTAACTGGCTGGTGTACTGGCTTAAACAACGATCTACCTCACGTTTTCTGCTAGAAGTTACATTAATATATACTCTACCGCTTCTCTTCTTCGGCGAGTTTGTAGTAAGCGACGGTAAGCAATTTTTATTTGCACACTTGCAATAGTTTATTTTTACAGGTTTTTATGACCATAGATTAATGTTGCCATTTCCCTCATATTGTTGACTCCCAATATTGACGAGATTATTTACCTCTTTTTACGTGACCGCTATTAGTCTTTTCATTATTTACATTCATAAACGAAAAATAAATTCAGTATTACTATTTTAGATAAAAATGAAGACCCAGATGAATGTTGTTTTTCAATAAAGACAGTCAAAGTAAAGGTAAAAAAAGAAGCCGCTGATATTTTGCACCAATTGAGATCATTACTAGACTTGGTGTTAGCTCGCAAGGTTACAACAGTTCAATCCTCATATCACAGTAGATTTGAAGAGGAAGTAATTGAGTGAGTATTCATTTTTAGACACCTCTAGGACAACCCTGAAAAGAATCTCGGGGCACGTTAAAAATAAAAAAATCATTTTAAATTATTGTTCAGATATTTTTATTCAGGGTATTTTTTTTTAGTGCTGTCATCAACCTTATAACGGCAGAAGACGAAGGTGTCGAGTATATGGATGCCGATAATTCTGAGTCTGACTCCGAGGACTCGTTTAGAAGTAAAAGAAGATACTAAATACATTTTTATTTAAATTTACTTTTTTTTGTTATTTTTTAACAGTTACCCGAATTTCGTTTAACAAATTACCTACTTACATCAAGAAATTCTTTATTTCTTTAACAAACTTGCATTTATGGAAAAATTCTTTTCTTTGTGCCAAAAGTTTAAAAAGTGTTTGCCAACAAAATTTAATTTCCTTTTGTTTGAGCTATTTTTTTTAAAATGGCGACACAGTTAGCTGTCATTTGTAAGTCGTGATTTTAAAATGTAAATATTGAAAACAAGTTTTATTGAATGTTATTATTCAGATAAGCTAAAAACTTAAGATTAATTATATTTTATTATTAGTTCGTAAGAAGTAAAAGCGACAAAATGTTATCATTTCGGGTATGTAACCTCTTTGCATCTTGTAATAAAACTTTTGTTTTAAAGATATTGAAAAATAACTACTGTATTTTTTGCAGAAACATATATTTACTCCTTTAACTATAAGTATTCGTAATACACATAATGAATACATAATAACTAAGGAAAATAACGGCACTCGAGAGATCATTTTAAACCATGAGAAAACAAAGTTAGTATATTTAATGTTATTACTTAATACTATGTATATGTATGTATACATGTATATGACCACGCGAAATTAAAAATAAAGCAAAATTAGTAGCTTATGTGTTTTTCCAAACTATGGTCTATATGTACGCCTAATTTCATCAAGATCCATTCAGTCAGTATTGAGATATCTTCAAATATCCATCCATACATTTAAACACATTAATGATATTAGTAAGATTCTTTAATTATATGCAGAAACTCACTATCAATTAATATGATGAGCAACTTAATACAAGCAATCAACGCCAATAATGAGGACACATCTTTAAGAGCTATAGTGCTGTCTGCAAAGGGTAATGTCTTTTCAGCAGGACATAACTTAAAAGAATTAGTAAGTAAAAGTATATATAATTAGCTGAACTGTTATGAGAGAGAGAGAGAGAGTTCTTACATAATCAATATAAATAATCTTGCTTAAATCCAATAAGAAAAGACAAAGTAGTCCTTTATAAAAAAGAACATCTGTTTCTTTACATTTATTCACTAATATTTAGGTATAAAATTAAGTAGTACTGTATTTTTTACAGCAAATTATTGATGGAAAACAACAATATAAACTGGTTTTTAAGAAAGCGGTAGATCTGATGAAATCAATAATGGATAGTCCTGTTCCAGTAATAGCAAAGGTAAAAGTGTAAATCTTATCCAGCATTTTGAATTGAATGTTCATAAAATATATATGTGTAATTTTATATATGTTTTATAGGTAAATGGATTTGCAACTGCAGCAGGATGTCAATTAGTTGCATCATGTGATATGATTGTTTGTTCAGACACAAGCAAATTTTCTACACCTGGGTAATATGTGCCAATATTCTTAGGTTATATCTGTATATATAGTATATATTAGGTAATATTATAAAATGGAAATTTGAATTTTTGTTTGTAACCAATAAACACATGATGTAGCGGGCAAAATCTAGTTATAAATGTTTTAACATATTTTTTATCACAGGGCTAATTTCGGAATATTCTGCTCAACTCCAGGGATACCATTAGCGAGATCAGTACCAAAATCTAGAGCAATGTATATGTTGCTAACAGGTATATTTAAAAAGGCATTTTAGTGTGATTTTTTTAAAAACAAATATAGTAATATAACCTTGATTATGAGTATCCCTTCTCAATGTTAGTTTTTTTTATTTACAGGTCAACCTATAAATGCTAAAGAAGCTTACGAGAGTGGTCTTGTAACAAAAGTAGTGCCTCCAGAAGAGCTAGATGAAGAAGTAACAAAAATAATTGATCAGATAAAACTGAAGAGTCGCTCCGTAATCACTTTGGGAAAGTATTTCTTCTATAGACAAATAAATCTAAACATATTTGACGCATATAAATTAGGCCAGGATATAATGGTAAATAATACTGAAATGGATGATGGACAAGAAGGTATTAGGAGTTTTGTTGAAAAACGTAAGGCTAAATGGAGCCATAAATAATTAATAGTAGTTTTAACATTTTCAACGCTATAATTTTTTTATACTAAAGTTAACTTGTGGTCAGCGGCACTCAACATGCTAACTTTACTGTTTTTGACTGACTCATATTGTCATTCTGTTTTGGGAGATCATGTGATGTGACAAAATGTCAGTGTTACTTAAATATAAATCATACTCTTGTATTCATAGAAATAAAACAAATTTTATTTACACCTAGCATTTTATTTACCATTCAATGCATCTCCAATATGTGTAATAGGAGTTTTACAAGCAGGACTCGCATAATCACATTACATAATACCAATAAATTATTTGGCCGAAAGGTCATTTGACAATATATACATTCATTTTAAAAAAAAAGAAGCGAAAACTTAACATATTGTAGTGTTTTATAATTGTGCATGTTAATGTTTTTATATAAGTAAATGTTACTTAGAACACATAGCCAACAAAATAAACTATTCTCAAATATGCATAATGAAAAGTTATATATTGTCAACACTCTGTTTATAAATGTAAAATAGCGTAATAAACCCCAAAACACTATTATAATGAAACCACACATGAAAGACGTAGTGTTGGAACAAGATAAAATAAAACAAATAAGTAATAACTAATTATACACTATTTTATGCAATATTATGTCAAAGAACCAGAAACTATAGAACATGAAGTATGATACAATGAAAAAGCAGTTATTTGGATTGTGTACAACAGTGATTCTCAAACTTTTTTGAGTACAGAATGAATACAGCAAGTAGAACCCTGGATTTTAGATTTGATTATTTTACTGGCTAGAATCAGACACCAATTGATATAAAAGTTGATAAGCCATCATCGCATCCTATCCATAAGTATTTAGTTTAAGTAACTACTTTTGGTCTTTGCAGAATCTCAGAGTTCCACGGAGCACAATGAGTAAAGCTATTTGGTGTACACAAATATAAACTAAATAACACTATTGATTCTAATCGGTTTTAGGATCAATTTAAAAGTGTTAAGATGACAATGAAAGGTATAATTTCATAAGCAAACCTAATTACTGATTAAATGTTAAAAATAATTTTCCGATGAATGTTTTTATTAATGGCTGTTTCCTTGTATGTTAAAATAACATTCATAAGATACTTAGAATATAATCACTAAAAATTAATCCAAACTCAATGAAACCACTAATATAAGAAACTTTACTTGAAAATTACACTTAAATAAAATGTGGGCCTTTTTCCACATGCCAACAAAACTTATTGAAATTATCAAATGATAAGAAAAACAAGGAAAAACTTTTAATGTTGAACAGATAAATAAAAACAATTAGATGCTACATTTAATTTTTTTTATATATTGGTTATAAAGAACATCCATTATACATAACTTTATATATTGAAATTTTAAAAGGTTATAAATCCTTGATTACATTAATTAACTTAAGATACAATTTCATTATCAGAATATAATGTGTAAAATGCAATTACAAAGACAAAGGTTAACAATATTCAGTGGAAAAAGACCATTTAAACATATTTAGATATAATAGTAGTCTTTTGTATCCAGTTTTAATGGATCTGCATTCTCATTATGGAAAGATTTCAGTCATTTAGGGAATGTCACTTTTGTTCCCAGTGACTGGTTAGGATGAGGACTCACTTCTTTGCAAGTTCATTGGAGAGCCAGTCTAATCCCTCATAGAGACCTTGGCCTTGTGTTGCACAAGTCGCTTGAATATACCACTGGAATTGTGCAAGTGTTATGAGTCACTGTCATCTCAATACTAAATATATAGCAAATATTTTGATATACTTACACGGCGGTTTCTAAGGTTGTTTAAATTAAGAGCATTTGTTAATTCAGCAGCTGTCATTGCATTAGGCATATCCTGTTTATTAGCAAAGACCAAGATAACAGCATCTTTCAATTCATCTTCTTTAAGCTAAAATGTAATTATGATGTAAATTAATTAAATATTATACATTATTAAGGAAAAATAATACAAAACAAGACAAACCATGTTAGCCAGTTCATTTTCAGCCTCAACGATTCTCTTTGTATCACTTGAATCTACTACAAATATAAGTCCTTGTGTGTTTTGGTAATAATGACGCCATAGAGGTCTAATTTTATCTTGACCACCAACGTCCCAAACCGTGAAACTGATGTTTTTGTATTCCACCGTTTCGACATTGAAGCCGATAGTCGGAATAGTAGTGACAATCTCGCCAAGCTTTAACTTGTAAAGTATTGTAGTTTTACCGGCGGCATCTAAACCAACTGCAAATTAAAAAGTTTACATTTAATTTTAGTTTAATTCTAAGCAAAATACGCAATTTATACAAACAGTTACGCAGTCCTAAAGCGATGAGCTGTCACTCGACTCACCCATTAAAATACGCATTTGTTTCTTGCCGAAAAGTCTTGTGAAAACACTCGATATTGTCAGTCCCATTTTACTATAACACTAGTGGCCTATAGAAATAAATAATAAACACAATCGCTTCTTGTACAACTTCCAAGTCTACTGTTTTGAAATGAATACAAAATTTCTTTTATAGGACTTTATATTTAACAAAAAGATGTGATGATCTGTTTAGCAGAATGTATTCAATGATACGTCAACCAGTTCAACGCGGCCTTAGGGTTTTCAAGTACTGGTAATGGTTATATCGGTTTTTATTATCTGTATTGTTAATTTTTCTATTTTCCTATAGGAATTTTTATGACAATGACTTAAGCAGTAGGTACTTCTTTAAACACAGGTAACTAGATAGTATAATAATAAATAAAATTATAAAAATCATACAAGATTTATGTGTATGTATAATAAATATAGATTAGGCTTGTGGGTCTTTGAAGGTTTTTTGGACTTTAGCGGATTCTAGGAGACTTGAAGCTCAAGTGAGGATGTACCGTAACGGAGATAATAGATACTCACGATTGTAATACATGGCTTTAATTTATATTTACATACAATTATATAGTTTGATATATTTAAAGTTTATGACTTAGATATAGATTACAGAGTATGAATGAAAACAGTTATTATCCAAAACCGGAATCTTCCATCCCTATTGAAAATCGCAGATTAAATATATTACGGTTTTATACTCTTTGATCGAAATAGACAAAATAAAGTTAAAAAATAAATAATCGAACATTTCTTCAAAATTTGCAGTAAAACGATATCAATAAAAACAAGTCTCTAATAATATTTAAATATTTTTTAGAGTTTTACTTAAGTTGTATATCTGTCTACCGAAGGCTGAAAAGGCAGTATCAATTCACAGATTAAGTTGATAAGTTGCCAATAGGAATGAACTGCTGAGAACCTGTCATGCGTCGTCATAGAAACGTTTTCGAAAACTTTTGATTTTGTGGCTGGTTTCGACATGGAGATTTACGAAGGTATGTAAATATGATATTAATTATTAGTATATTAAATATCATTACTTAAATAAGTGTTGCGTTTAGGGTTTACAGTCATATTAAATTCAAAACAAGTTCAGCGCGAAGGACCTTTTGAGGCACCTTGTTATGATGATTTATCCGTGTTTAGACGTACGTTTTTACGATTTTTTAGTCAATTAAAAAAATAAACATGCTACAAGGCAATAATAATTATTTTTTTATATATAAAATAAGTAAACAAAGAAAGCGTAGATAAAGACAGTATATGCTTTAGGAAAAGATATAATACCATTATACCAGTCCCATAATATTAAATTTTTTCTAGTAAAATTTTTGGTATGCAATTTATAATTAAGAAAAAATAAAAAATATTGTAAACCGTCTATTCGAAATAGACGGTTTACAATATTTTTTATCTTTAAAAAATAATATTAACGTAAAATATAATTAATAAAGGCTCCACCACACAAAGATGTAATAGTGCGTCCGAAATTAAAGACTACAAGTTAACTACTATATTACACCCTCAAGTTTTGTAAAAAAAATCCATTTTGCCGGCAATTGACTGTCGTTTCATGAACCTTCCTGGACTCTAATAGATTGAAATAGATTCTTTTACTCCCTGAAACGATCGAGGTTGCGATACGTTATATAGCGGCTAGATATTTAACTGTAAGAATCTTTTCATATTTTCTCTCGTTTCTGTTACTTACGTTTTGAATATCTGCCTAAAATAGTCCTATTTGTTGCGCTTTATTACTGCAAATCATGACAATTCAAAGTCTACTTGCGCCATTGTTGTTCGTATTCTACAGATGATTTTGCTTAACTTATCACGTTAAACTGTTTTATGATAGACTTCGTCTAGTGGTATATAAAGCCAAGAAAAGTGTTTATTTTATTTAACTGTTTAAAATAAAAGAAAACAAAGAGATATTGCTGTAATCCACATAAGTATTAGTAGAGTTCGTACTAATTTTATTTTTCAGAATAACATAGTCCGTTTAACAAAAAACGGCAAGTTATTGTCTACCAGCAATAAATATGCATTGACGTGCTATAAACTGTATTACGTCATAGGCCGGTCCCTACTTATTAAGGCATACATGCGAAAGAACTTATGACACATAGATAAAACATGTTATCGACAATATTTGTACCTTTGCAAAGTGCAATTTTAAAAGCGTTTATCATACAATTAATAACCAGTAACTATTATAGTTTGGTAATTACTGACGTCCTTGAATTTGGAGGACGTTCTTAATTATAACGTGTTACGCCACAGTAGCTCTCATGCGTTGAATTTTATAATTATGTATTTCGAGGTCACGTAGCAAAGCTCTTGAACCCTTGATGCCTTAAAGCTTAATGTTTAACATTGTGCATATAAAAAAATATTTTATAATGCTCGTGAGAATAAATATTATGTTTTAATCCATGGTATAAGAACACACGTCTTAAGGCCAGAGATATAGAGATTACGAATTTCTCTTTAACACAGTCCTCTTTCGTTTCTCATAAATCGTCACTGATAGTCCTGTATAGCCTTTCTTTATTATAATTTCATCATTCATGTATACAACATCGTATTTGATGTGACTAATACATTTCATAACTTTGAAATGTAGTTAAGTAAAACGTGGAACAAATTTTACGTTCCACGTTGTCGATTTCTTGTTGTCAGTCTCAGTTCATCTTTATTGCAAAATGTTATCCAAATGGGATGATGAGCATTCTATGGTTTCGATTTTTCGTCATATTTTTTTGCCAATATTGCAACAATATTGTAATGAGACGTAACAGTATTCAATAATTGATTTATTAAAAAGTTATTAAATGATAGTCTCAATATAATTTGTGAAATGATGAAATTTATTTGTAAATCTCATTATTTGAAGTAAAAGTCTGTACATCTTTATATTATGTTGCAACTCTTATGTAATTTATTAATTTAATAGCTCTATGGCTATTAATTATCTTGTAATTTAATTGTCTATTGTTAAAATATTTATTTGTACGTAACAAAGTAACGCAATATATTTTTCTTCTCAGGAAAGTTAACCACAAACACAATAAATATTAAGTATTTAATATTTTTAGTATGTGGTTAAAGTAAGCATGCATATATTTTATATGACAATAAGTGCGGTTTGATATGAAAGTTTCCTTCCAATACATCATCTAATGCAATTTCTAACTTTTTATACTTGTTTTTTTGAAACGCGGTGTATACGAAGCGAGTTATAACAGTCATGTCATCGCTTCATCATAATTTATGACCGGAGATAATGATCGTCTACTAAATTTAAATATAATCGACACTATTAAGGATCTGTGTTGTCATGTAGCCATAAAATCAGAAACATACGACGTTACGAGTTCAAACTTGCATCATAATTTTCAACCTACCTTTATCCCTATGGAGAGACGGCATACTATACTACGTCTCCTTACATCTGTATCAATCGTCATATCTGAATTCACCCCGTTCTTACGTATATCTTCTTTCCATAATGTGACACCATAAAACCCGCATAGCTCTATGGTTTTCTCACATTAAAGAATTTAAATCTATTTATCAGAGGATAAGAAGATTTAAAATTGTCATATTCGTCGTTTGATATTCAATGTATGAGATCGTAAGATATTTTAAATAGGATTTAAGTGCATTAGCCGCATAATTACCATATCATCATGTGTGGGATTCAACATCGCCCACATTTGATATATTTGATGTCCATTATATCCACTATATTTATTGTAATCATTTGCATCTTGCAGTTCTTATATTGACTTGTGTGCGCTTCGCTCGTGACATCTTTATTTCTTACTAATAATATTAATTCGACTGTTTAGATAGATGGTTGGATGTTTGTTTGGAGGTATCTCTAGAACGGCTCAATGGATTTTGATGAAACTTGTCAAAGATGTAGAACATAGCCTGGAAGAACCAGAGGCTACTTATTATTTTTTTTAAATTCAGCGCGAACGGAGTTACGGGCGACAGCCAGTATTAAATAAACCAATTAAGTAATTGTTATATTTATCAAAAAGGACACAACGAAACGAACAACATAGCTCTAGTTTATTTGAATGTTTGTTTACATATACACAAATAACTTTTCTAGTTAAAATTGCACGCTTTGATAAAATTAGTGCTCATAAAAGCATTTTATGTTTGATGGTATTTCATGATTCATTCTATTATATATTTCTTTATATAACATCGTCAATAAATTTACAGAAGCAATAATATACTTTAATCTGTTTTGTATGTTATTTGGATAAAATTTATGATGGGAACTATATTATCAAGCCATTCATTTTACGAACATGATTTACTACTAAATTTTCAAGCAAACTTTCAAAAACTCTACGACTTGTCTGTATGTTTCGATTTTTTTTACGGTCTAAGTTAATAGACTCCTTCCTTGATGTGTTTAAATATGGCACGAATTGCCCCCTTCCCTTTTACTTGCATCAGAGTCTCTTAATTAATATTAATTAGAGGCCTCTCATGTCATAATACCAAATAATTTTAAAGTACTTATGAAATAGATAATTAATCTAATTGTGACTGTCTTACAAAATAAAGCAACGGTGCATACACGAGTAGTTTACTTGAGACATTTCATTACGAAAAGTTAAATAAATAACAGGTTCAACGACATTAACTCATTGCAGGTAACGACTGCTACGTTTTGTTCTAGTTCTAGTATTAAACTAACCGTGGGTTTATGAGACCAAAATCTTCGTTTAAAACATATTGCTATCTCTGTTTAGTCAAAGGTAATGACACTGATTACGATATGTTTTATGAGAGATTTTAGTCACTGAAATCAACGGTAAATATTTAAAAGTTTATTTTGTCCAGTTTAATATCTTATATGTTCTATTCACATTCACTTATTCATTTATTAACCTTATTCTTAATATATTACATTTCAAATAAAAAAATAGAGCACCACCGGCTGCGGAGTCCCATGACTCAAGCAACCAGTGGACAGGGCTGCAGAGACAGGAACCTTCTCACGATGCGTGAGGTTTCTAGGATAACTGCCTTTTGTATCGGGCCCTTAATCCAACTGTTTAGCGAGAGCTTCTTGAGATGATGCTATTCACATTATTATTTGTGTCTTAATAATATTAATACTCCGATTAATCTTGACTATATTGTGGTATGGTTGTTAGTTGAATTTTCTAAAATAATTAGACCAATAGTTTC